GAATAATGCTGACCTGGATGGAGAGTGCTATAAACTTGAAAATGCCATAGAAATCATGTTTGCCAATTTATGTCCATGCAACTTTAGAATGACAACTAGCGAAGGCAGTGTCATTCATGACTTGTTATCATAATGGTTTATTCTATGTTTTTAAAGAAATGTTTCTCTAAGGCAACAGGTCTGGATATTGAGTGTCACTGTAATCTCCTGACTTTTGTATGTGCTAATTGCAAGTCCTGACATAAAATATATATTGTCAAAAAAATAGTATGACATGTCTGGCACTACAAGATGTGGCTGTGTGATCTTTCTATCATACTGATAGCATGATGTCCCCAATCTACTATTACATGCACTCTCTTTTCTGCTCAGTTGGAATTATGTTTTAAAATATATTCCACATTGAATACTAATTTTTCATGAATATAAAACAAATATTAAAATACTCAGAAATCTGTTCTATTGCTTATAAATAAAGATTTTCTTTGCTCAATATAAATTATTTCATTTGTTAGTAATATTTCGAACACAGGGACTATTAATTACTATAATTAGGTAGGGTTAGATAAAAAAATTTCTATAATTTAGTTTTCACAAAGTACTTTTATTTTATGAAACAGCATGACTGAAAAATATAACAATTTTTATACAATTCTTTTGGGCAAACGTGATGGAAATGAAATGCTTTCACCAGCATATGGGTTCAAGGTAACATTATTGGCTTAAAGCCAGAATACTATTTACAGTTACTAAATCACCGCTTTAGGCTGATGCTACACAGCAACATTCCAAACATCAGTTCTTGATTAGTTTCACCAGTTCATATCATTAATGTATATTGTCAGTTTAAATTATTTGACGATTACTGTACTTTTGTTACTAATTGAGTGATAGAGGGCGCTCTAACAAGTTCTGGAAATATTCAGAATCATCATGTTATCAAATTACTGTTGGACATGACTGAAGAGGTAATACCAGGCAACAAGCTGGGCTTCAGATTGCCACCCTGTATACCAGGCAACAAGCATGGGTTCAGACTGCCACCCTGTATACCAGGCAACAAGCATGGCTTCAGACTGCCACCCTGTAAACCAGGCAACAAGCATGGCTTCAGTCTGACACCCTGTAAACCAGGCAACAAGCATGGCTTCAGAATGCCACCCTGTATACCAGGCAACAAGCATGGGTTCAGACTGCCACCCTGTATACCAGGCAACAAGCATGGCTTCAGTCTGACACCCTGTATACCAGGCAACAAGCATGGGTTCAGACTGCCACCCTGTATACCAGGCAACAAGCATGGCTTCAGTCTGACACCCTGTATACCAGGCAACAAGCTGGGCTTCAGATTGCCACCCTGTATACCAGGCAACAAGCATGGCTTCAGACTGCCACCCTGTAAACCAGGAAACAAGCATGGCTTCAGACTGCCACCCTGTATACCAGGCAACAAGCATGGTTTCAGACTGCCACCCTGTAAACCAGGCAACAAGCATGGTTTCAGACAGCCACCCTGTATACCAGGCAACAAGCATGGCTTCAGACTGCCACCCTGTAAACCAGGAAACAAGCATGGTTTCAGACTGCCACCCTGTATACCAGGCAACAAGCATGGCTTCAGACTGCTACCCTGTATACCAGGAAACAAGCATGGTTTCAGACTGCCACCCTGTATACCAGGAAACAATCATGGTTTCAGACTGCCACCCTGTAAACCACGCAACAAGCATGGCTTCAGACTGCCACCCTGTAAACCAGGAAACAAGCATGGTTTCAGACTGACCATGGACATACTAGAGATGGACGCTGCAGGGTGATTCATACCTGATAAGACGCATTGTCTTTCTATTGTACTCATCTTAAAATTATGAATAGGCAGACGTACTTTCATCTTGGCTGAGTTGCCGCCCGATCTTAGTTTTGATTTTTCACGACAAGATTCGGAATATTAAATTTTATATTATATTGGCGAAAAAAAAAAAAATTCAGACCTTGCCCGTGAGCTGGTGCAATGTTAAATTGTAAATCAAGGGTTTAACGCAGATCCGTATGTTCTAGGCAAGTTTACGAGCATGTCTGTACCGCTCTTCTGCATTTGTTAACAATTTTAATTTAATATTGCCAATAAACCCGGTGTGAGCGGATGACGATTTTTTTATCCAATGTTCAATTCAAGTGAAATTTCCAGATGGCACAAAGCTTAAAATGTTCGGAAAAGTTCGGCCGCCGTAATTCAATGTTAAACATGGACTTCTTTAACATTAGCTTACACGTTCATGGTGGGCTCTCGCGAGAAACAATACTGCTGTTTGTCCTCTTCAGGGACGGCTGAGTCGACAGTTTCAGTGTCTTCAATATCAAAATCATTATTGTCTAGTTCTAAAATGTCGGGATCAACAAAATCTGAACCGAAACCAAACTTTCTGTTGCCTGTTCGTTGTCATTTTGTTTTCTCTTGACGATCGTAAACAGATCGTCGGGGGCGTTCGGGACAAAACGAAGATGAACCGAGCTATAATCGTGCGTGTTCGTGATCGTTCCCCGTGGACAGGAAATTATGCAGACATGATCTGGATTAACAGTAATCTGGTGGCGGCACCGCAGATACATCAAAGCGAGTAAACACCGTGCAGCGTCCATCTCTAGTACATCCATGGTCTGACATCCTGTATACCAGGCAACAAGCATGGCTTCTGACTGCCACCCTGTATACCATGCAATAAGCATGGTTTTGGCTTCAGGCTACCACCCTGTATACCAGGCAACAAGCATGGCTTCAGACTGCCACCCTGTATACCATGCAATAAGCATGGCTTCAGACTGCCACCCTGTATACCAGGCAACAAGCATGGCTTCAGACTGCCACCCTGTATACCAGGCAACAAGCATGGCTTCAGACTGCCACCCTGTAAACCATGCAATAAGCATGGTTTTGGCTTCAGACTGCCACCCTGTATACCATGCAATAAGCATGGTTTTGGCTTCAGACTACCACCCTGTATACCATGCAATAAGCATGGTTTTGGCTTCAGACTGCCACCCTGTATACCATGCAATAAGCATGGTTTTGGCTTCAGACTACCACCCTGTATACCAGGCAACAAGCATGGGTTCAGACTGCCACCCTGTATACCATGCAATAAGCATGGTTTTGGCTTCAGACTGCCACCCTGTATACCAGGCAACAAGCATGGCTTCAGACTGCCACCCTGTATACCAGGCAACAAGCATGGCTTCAGTCTGCCACCCTGTATACCAGGCAACAAGCATGGCTTCAGACTGCCATCCTGTAAACCAGGCAACAAGCATGGCTTCAGTCTGCCACCCTGTATACCAGGCAACAAGCATGGCTTCAGACTGCCATCCTGTAAACCAGGAAACAAGTGCCACTTCAGACTTCCACCCTGTAATAATGCAGTTGATGTTACATGCTATATCCTCCCCTCCCACAAATTGAATGGTTTGTTCCAAACTATATACTAATATTACTTTTACCCTGTACTGTCATGTGTATTCAGTTGCCTATAAAAATGTTATGTTTTTTAGTGTTTTTAACCAATCCTGTATACACCAGGTGTAGAATAATAAAGATTGGTGAACCCTGAAATTGTCCTACCTTATTGTTCTTTTCATTGTCAATATTTTGTTATGTTACGATATTATTTTTTATTAGTACCATCATAATGAAGTGTACTGACTCTATGAGTACTCTACTGGTTTTATTGTGTTGCTTTAATGTCTTTTAAAATAGAAACAAAGTTGCACTTGGACTTTCAAAGACAAAAGACAAGAATGTGAATTTTCACAGAAAAAAAACAAATGTCAAATGTCTAAAAGTTTGGCAGTAAAACTAAAAAGTGATTTTTTTTGTGTCAAGCAGCATATGTTTATTTAAACTGAATCAAAATTAAATTCAAAACATACAGAAAAACAAAAAGAACTTATTTGTACTGCCCTCTATCTTTCTTAAGTGGATATGTTTTTTAAATGAACTGTCTGACCTTGTGACCTTCACTAGTTATATGAATTATCTGCTGCACATGTATTACACTGTAAACACGTCAGTGATGAATGCAAGTACTAGCAATATTCTGGGGATAGGTGCATCAACATGTTTGTCTTATAATAATTCAAAATATATTTCTGATCTTGAAGGATATACAATGTATGGGTGGGAATTAATCCAATCATTCAGCATCAAGGATACATGACAAAATTTAAATTACCTTTTTTTAGTTAAAATTGTATTAATTATGTACAATGTTAGTTGTTTGAAATTAAATTAAAAACCACCAAGAGCATATATCTAAACATGTCTGATTGATTTAAACCTGTACTGATGTTACATCATACATTATCGATTTCTATAGTGCAGTGCAGTGTTAAGCGATGCATTATCAAGACACTTTAATTGGCAATGTTGAATCTAATACAGTGTCTACTCTGTGATTGGCTCTGTAGAATGGTTTTTCCAGTGCATGCGTCTAGACTAAGACTGCTTATTGAATAGAGAGAATGGGAAAAAAGCAGTGTAAATGTTCAGACAGTGTTGGTATAAGATTTACACAGAGAGAAAACAGTCATTGTGGATTTAGCAGGTGACGACCTCATTTGTAAACATCTGTGTTGTGTATGGATGATGCATTACATGTAAAGCAGGTGTGCTGACGGTCGGTTGCCATTTATTGAGGATGTTCTTTCTAGACTACAGCATCAGTTACGCCACACTTGTTGTAATAGTATTACAATGTCATCAGTAATACCAGATGTACTCTTTATTAAAGGAACAGGACAAAAATAGCATTATAAATACCAATGCTAACACAACTTAATTGAAATGCGATGGATCAAATTCCCACTGTAGGGTTATCTATAGCCCGACTGTAAGTACAGCTACTGAGTAGCTTTCACCCCCATATCAGAGTGGGTTGATCCACATGCTGTTTCTCACGAATAAGTTTGGCATGCTAATAAAAGACAAACTAATAAGATTCTGAATGAATAGAAGATTTTTTAACGTGGTGTCTGAGTTGAAATGATAGTACGTGCAAGTGTATTTGCGTTTTGACACTGAGGATATGAACTATCCCAGTCTAGACGATAACACTAGATATACAATTACCCTTGGAAATATCTTATAACTGTGATCATGGCCGAGACATTGCAGCAACCACAATCAGGGAATCTTATAACAACTGTGCAGCAACCTGAACATATCAACGTCAATGGTATAGTAGAGCTGGATACTATAGATGAAGAAAATGACTGGGGTAATGTGTTTTGTCAAAATCTATTGCTATAAGGTGTTAATTATGAGTATATACATGATATAAATTTGTCTAATAAATTAGATTTATTATTGACATGTTTTATACAAAGTTGCATTAAACATCATCCTCATTCATATTTGTCTGTCATGTAAATTTCACTTCAGTATTTCTTCAAATTCTCAACCTAAATTATACATTTTTAGTTGATAGATAATTCATTACTATTGACAGTCAGGAAATGTTCTTTTCAACCAGCATTCATAGAAATTTGGTGAAATTGAAATATAATAATCATGTCATTTGAGAATAAGATTAATGTGAAATAATTAATCATAATTCTAATTATCAAGTCATATCAATAAACTTATTTTCCCAATACAATTAAATGTGATTTGACTATTGTGATACGATCATATGATATTCTTTTTCTTTTAAAATCTACTAATACTTGACAAGAATTTACTGGATTTAGTCTCATTTGCCTTTAATAGGCGTACATTATATATCTACCGGTAATTCCAATACCATCTTTTTATTTTATTTTATTTATTTGTTTGAAAATTATCTGAATTTCGTATAGTAGCTACAATTATGAATTTTCACAAAATTATATTGATAAATTGTACATTAATATTAGGTATTGTTCATAGTGTTATTCTTAGTGATTCTCTGCACATGCTACACATTAGACAGATGCCATCAAAATTCTTCTGTTACATTGACCTTTAACCTTATCATGTTCAGCTGGCCAATGCCATGTGTCGGCATTACATGACAACAGTTTATTACAAGAACAAATGTAGCCAATTCAAGATGTCATTGTTGTAAACACTCTATTCATCTCAACAAAAGGGGCTGACACCTTTCAAATGACTCATCATGGGAAGGTGTGTAAGTGATTCCTATTCAGGCTGATATTGTGTAGAGAAACAGACACTGAGCAGAATTTTAAAATCGAGTCTCTGGTTGTCTGTTGCTCACTATCATAGGCCATATACGGTTGTCTGTTGCTCACTACCATAGGCCATATATGGTTGTTTATTGCTCACTACCATAGGAGTCTATGGTTGTCTATTGCTCACTACCATAAGGAGTCTATGGTTGTCTATTTCTCATTACCATAGGAGTCTATGGTTGTCTATTGCTCACTATCATAGGAGTGTATTGTTGTCTATTGCTCACTACCATAGGAGTCTATGGTTGTCTTGCTCACTACCATAGGAGTCTATGGTTGTCTATTTCTCACTACCATAGGAGTCTATGGTTGTCTATTACCCACTACCATAGAAGTCTATAGGTGTCTATTGCCCACTACCACAGGAGTCTATGGTTGTCTATTGCCTACTACCATAGAAGTCTATGGTTGTTTATTGCTCACTACCACAGGAGTTCCTTGTTGTCTATTGCCAACTACCATAGGATTCTGTATAGTCATAAAGGTCTTTGTTTTGAGGGCCCAAATTTATATTCATAAATATTTTGCAGACCATCTATTGTTCGTGGAGTGTGTTTATATAATTCTTGATTTATCCAGCATGGTTTATAATTTGATAGAATGATTTATATGTGTGATATCACATGTCTCTAAATAGTATGTTGTAAAAACCTAGCAAAGGTTGGTATTTATATTGGCCTCACTATTCTTACATATATAAATATGAATACACATAATATTTTCATAATTCCACAATTAAAAAATTTAAAGGATTTTATTTCCAAGTTGCTACAAATATAATTTGTTTTTTAATTGAATTTACCAAGCAAAACATACAACTGTTGAACTTAATTTGAAGTCTGTGTATATCATCTGTGTGTGTTTACCTCCTTGTGGAGTGTATGTGTGTGTGTGTCCACAGTAATTATCACAATAATAACAGGTATGCCAGCATTTGTGTCACCTGACAATACTTCATTGTTAGCATATGTGTCTATCCTATTTCATTTATTCATTTGGACATTCAAAATAGTTTCTTGAGTACAATGCTATTAAAAGTATTTTATAACTTATAATTATTTTGATCTGAAGTATAAATTTCAAACATGAATCGTTTGCTTTTCACAAGTTACTTGGGAGTTATATCTATAGATACAGTGTCTGTGTACATTTTTATCTGAAACAAATTCACTCATGTGTACGTATGTGACTGGACGTTTGTAGTTGTGTAACCTCAATGTTCAGTAGGTATGGACAATTTCTATGATTAAAATGTGATGTATTGCAATTATGTACAAATAATGATCTTACTGATCACATTTTGCAAGGTGACAAGGGGTTGTTTGGAACACTATCGTTATTATTCACAAATCTTGTTCTTTTCACTGATCACATTACCTCCAACCAAGAGTCAATATTTATCTAATAGTACTGAAAGGGCAAGTTTGTTAGTGGTTGGCTGGCTGGTTGGTTGGTTGGTATTGAGTGGTCTTGTCCTAACCTCAACTCTACTTGGAAAGTTAAACTCATTTTCCTAGATTTAGTGTTGATAATGTGGAGATTTGATCCAGAGTATTCACAATATTTTTATTTTGACTCATTCTACGTTGACACAATCTTGAAATTTTACTTTATTTGAATAAATATACATTATACTGAACTTACAAAAAGATGTAAGTATGGTAAAAATAAGTCTTATTTTAATCTGTTTTACAATAAATACAAGTTTTTGCTTTATGTACTTTTATTATATGTAAATGTATATGAAGTGGTATGGTACGAATGACGTTCAGCCTCTCATCAAATCAAAACTGACATAAAAATTGTTTTGTTTTTTTATTTATTTCAGAGGATATGATTGATGGTGATATGGCAGAGAGGCTCTCACTCTTAGAGAAGAGAGTTTCACAACAAGATGATGAGATCGTCTGTCTTAAGACGGCGTTAGCTGACGTTGTTAGAAGAATGTCAGCGTTTGAAGGCCGGAGAACGGCTACTAAACGTAAGTTCATTGCATGGTTCATCCATTATTGCCAGGAGATACTCTATTGACAATTATTTGCTAGGACAAATGATAAAACTGGATTAAAGGAATTAATATTTTAATATTTTTTTAATACACACCATAATCATCATAAATTTGGAATTTCACAAATCTGAATACCAAACTCAAAAGGTATGATTTGTGTTTAAAAAAACTATTACAATTCCTTATTTTAATTTCACCAATATTGTTTTATTTGTGATCATTGGTATTTAAATTTGTTTCCATTTATTACTTTCTTGTATGCTAACTATATAGCACCACCGTTGACTTTGTTGAAAGATGCACAAAAATCAGGTAACACTGTGTATATGCATGATTTTCTATCACCACATAACATTTGAATCTACATACTGCTTTATCTCTGCAAACATTGTACCTTACTGCAATCGGATTACCATCTTCAATAAACTGTAATAGTCGAGTATAATTGACAGAACAATACATCTATGATTTTGTGATTAACAAATAAAATTTGTACATAATGTAATAACAGTATTTTATATAATAATAGCTTAGGTTTACTACTAAACATTGTTTATTTTACCAATTATTCAAAATTTTGAGTCTAAGACTTTTACTCATTTGTTGACTTAGCTTAGTTGAAACAGTTATTTATTTCCTTAAACATTCATTTAAACTTCACACATATCTCATCATACATATGAAATTGCATTTGTTTCATGATCAAATTCAAGATGGCTGAATGGTGGCCATTTTTGTGCTAAAATTTCAAAATCAATCATTACTGCCTTTCTATAACCGAATTAATTACACAATTTTGGGTGCCTCGTCAGACAACAAGAAAATAGAAATTATTTTTTATTACAGCCATATTATGTCATTATGACCTGTATTCGCATCTGTTGTGTGGCAACATATTGTGTTTTCTATATACTGTGTATAAACAACACATGGATAAGATTTATTGCTATTCCAATCTCCACACAGCTTTTTTTAATATTTTTATTTGCTGTTAGCAACAGCGAGGAAAAAGAGGTGATAATGTATCTGTGATTCATACATTCTCTAAAAGTTACTAAACATGCTACTCTTAAAACCTATATATCATCTGAAAGCTTAAATATAGCCTAATATTGTAGTGTATATGCAGTAACAATGTTTTTCTAAATGACTGATGGCCAGTTCCACTATTGTGCTTTTTTACTATTCCCACTATTGAAAACACCTTTTTGGTTTATTTGTAGCATGTCTGTGGTAGAAAACAAAAGCAGATAATAAACAAGATATGATCGTCTAGCCTATACCATTTGGAATGTTCTGTACAATGCTGTTCGAATGATTGAAATTATATAAATAAAAAACAGTGTTTTCATTAGTCGGAATAGTAAAATAAAAGCAAAATTGGCTCCCTCAGATAAACATTGTTACAGCATATGCATTACTATCTCTATAAGGTTTCAGATAATTATAAGTTGTCATAGTAACATGTTAAGTAATTTTCAGAGAATGCTTGAATCACTGATCAATTTTCAACTTGATTTTCTCCTGTTGCTATCTTAAACAAATGTAAACAACATCAACTTTCAACATCTACAGGATATGTGTTTTGGGTCTGTGGTTGCTGCATGGTTGTCAATGCACAGCACAGCACAGCTACAGGGTTATAAGGTTAAACCTGGTCAGACATAACAAATACAATACAAGCAGTACATTATCAACTCCCGACCCTATGTGTTTTGGGTATGCTATTGGTGCTATGACTGTCAATGTCTTAATGAATGACAATTTTATTCTGTCATGATCAAATGATGATGACTGTTCGAATCTGCATATATGCAAATGTCTTCTAGTCGTGGTACAACACAACACATGTATTCAAATATCTCACAATCTTCCAAACTCATTACAAAAATACAGCACATGTATGTAAATATACTACAATCTTAGTTTTGCGAA